GAGATCAGTTAGTGGTTGTACTAGTCTGTGTAACATAAGTGGACATAATATTTGAATGACCTCTAAAAGCAGTCCAGTACAACGCTACTGCAAAGAATAAACCACTAATAAACTTATAGTTTAAACCTCTATGCAAGTGCCCATCAAAACGGTATTGTCTTCACAAAAATAGAATTTACAGCTGAGATGATTATCATCATTCAATTCAATGATTGCCTGGACCTTCACTTTACTCTACTCTAAATCCGAGCACTATGCCTTTTTGCCAGAATCTATGCAGTTGCACAAGGCAGTGTATGTGTGTGCAACATTTTGAGCCCCCTACTCCGGCCTGAAAACAACAATGTGCCTCTTTTTTCTATAATTTCAAGGCTGAAGCACTCAAATGAAGCACATACACATTCAATACACGCTTACAAACACGTTTCAATTATGGACCGCTGAGCATGTAGCTTGGTCCTGAGGTTGAAATGTCCGAACAAAGCCAAGGACTTGCTCAGTACAATTTGATTGCAGCTTGTTGATGTCTTCCGCTCTGTGTGTATATGAAAGCAAAGAGAATAACGGGTATGGTTGAGTGCATAGCAGACCCTCATAATAGTAGAGAGAGCAGAAAAAGTGTGTGTGTGTCCGTGTGTGTGTGTGTGTCCGTGTGTATGTGGAGGGGCTGTGTGGTTCTTGACAATGATTTGCCATGACAGGGAAGGTGTGCGGGCCTGCTGCCAGGAGCAACAGCATCCTGCTACCACACACACACACACACACACACACACACACACACACACACACACACACACACACACACACACACTATAGAATATAGAGTTCCATCATATCTTCACTACACAATTACACTTTAAACAGCTGTCTTTCTCTCTGTTCCTTCCTGCTTAACTTCTTTTATTTTCTATGTCTCTTTTTCCTGAGGGTTAATGTTATTATTTGATAAATCACATTTTCTACAATGTTAGCGTTGTGCTCTTCCAGTTGAGGTGGCCTACCTCTGCTATAAAACACTTGTGTTCTGCCCCTGCTGCTAAGTGTGACGCATTTGGTATTTTGGGATTATTCATTCTGATTACAAGTACAAACTGTGAGATGATATATATTAGTTTAAGGTGTCAATCTATGGCAGTACTGGATCGTTGTTACTTTTGTTTTTCACTTGCATGGTGAAGCTTTTGCTTTTTCCAAGTAGCTCATTTAATCAATTGGATTAAATAAACTATATATATAATTTTTTTATTATTTAGTGATATAGGAGTTACAAGACAAGTGCATACACGTACAGTGTCACATATACACAGAAGACAATAAGGAGCATTTACAAGTATACAAGACAAATAACAAATTACAAAATGTACATGGAGACAAAAAGAACTGTGTGTGTCGGTGTGCTTGAGGGATTAGACAAAAGGAGAGTAATACATGACTAAATTAAAATTAAAATGATATGAGTAAAAATATAATAGTCAAGTATCCTAGGAAGGGGGAGGGGCATGTAAATAGTAGCATGACCTCAAAGAAGTAGATAGGGGTGGTGGCTGAATCGGATTGAGGATTATTAATTACATTTATAAATTAATGGGTTCCAGATTGCATCAATATCATTGGTTTGTTTTTTTATGCTGGCAGATAATGTTTCCATTATTTAAATTATTTAAAAAAAAACATACTAATACTTATACTATCTATATAACCCACTTCTCATAAAGAGCAATGACCAGACTAGAGCAACAATTAAGTTATTCACGGCGGCTACCATCTGACCTGCATCTGCTAACGTGAACTTGAGTATATCTGAAAGATCTTAGAAGTTTTAGATGCAGAAAACACGAGAAAAATCCGGGCAGCAACAGGTTAAAAAGTTCAAAGGGAATAAATTGATTTAATATTGTGAGAAAAAGCAGATCAGAGAGAGGGGAGACAACCCAGAGGCTTTTATCTCAAATGTTGTAACTTTAAGGTAATTGTCTTGTTTTGTTTTGGTTAGATTCAAAGAGGTGTAAGATTAAAGAGAGGAAAGAGACAGAATGACATTGACCATGAAAGAGCCTGAAAACTTAAGCTTTGTTAATACATGAAGCGCACCTCAATCTGCACTCTGATTCACAGCGCGCCTACTAAACAGAGATATAATGCAGTGAGTGACAGCAAGTGTTTGCAGAGTCCTTCTCATTAGACTGCTACTGGGGTCTTTGATCCTCGGGACCTTGTGGGCAAGAGTCCTCTCCTCTAATTGTAAGGCCACTGTACTCATGCATGCATATTTAGCACACCTTCATGAAGCTGTAATAGCTCTCTGCTGCCTCACTTTACATTAACAAAGGCTCGACTTGATCCAAGGGAATGTTGACCTCTCATACTGTCCTTACTAAACCAGTACGCCACCATTCTCACAAAAACAATAGTTAAAAAGGAGCACGCATAATAAAAGCAATTAGATTTGTCATATTGTAAATGACTTTTAGACAATCACAGTCGAGTCATTCTACAGAAAAGGTGGAATCTGGGTGATACAAATCTAAAACTTGTTAAATAGCAATAACTAACTCTTAACTTGATGAATCCACAACAAGTAGAGCTTAAAATATTTTTATTATTTTGTATACATTATACAAAGCTTATTTATATAGGAAAGTCACTGGTGTTACGTGTTACCAGGAAGAAGAGTAACACCAGTGACGGTAACACCATTGACAATTTGGAGAAAACATTACCATTTTAACAAAATGGCTGCAATGTGTGAGACCAAATATGGCTTCAGTCAATATCAAAATCGTTTATCTCTTCAATACAATACATTTTCCCATTCAAATGTTCACCCCTAGGGCTATGAAATGAGTAACACTAATGACAGACTTGAAAGACGCACGTACAATTTGAAGATAAAATGACACCTTTAACAAACAAAGTAAGAAGTATCTGACTTTCCTTATGTCTTTGTCCACTGCACTGCCTCAAATGATCTCTTGTTACAGGAGGCACTTCAGAGACAGTACATTATTTCAAAAATAAAAGCGTTTTGTGTAGCAGTAACCATAGGCAGTAACACCAATGACGTAATTTTGGGTGACTGACATTTATTTGATATTATTAATAATAATTTGCGTTTTTTTTTAATTAGATTGATTTATTGAAAAAAAAATCTTTTAAATGAAAACTATAGGCTCCACTTCCATGTATGATCAAAGGGACAAGGCAGTTCCTTGAATTTGGCATTTTAAAGAATTGCAATTTATGTATAAAACCATTTTTTATTTATTTTTAATTTAGTACCATTGCAAAGACAATCTCTATTTATTCAACATAGGCTATATAATGAATGTGAGTATTAGGTCAACGTCATGTATTTTGGTGTCTGCAAAAGTAAGTGACAGTACTTCCACCTTTTCTGTGTAGAATGACCCAGTTACGATAAACCAGGTGTATTATGACTAGTAAAGACAAATAATTAACAAATAAATATCTGTATTGACACAGCAACGTGTACACTGGTGTTATTAGACTTGGCTACAGACTTAGGGCAGTTGTAACTGATTGCAGTTGCCACTGCTACTGAGATGCTAAGGTTTACTTTATAAATTAGGCAAAGGACAGTTATATTTGCCCCATGCCTTCAGCAGCAGGCCATTCACTTTGATTTGATCCCGTTATGAAATGTCATCATTTCGACAATAAAGAAATGCTACATAAACGTTATCTTGCACGTTTTATCGAACCATCTCCGTTTCTAACTTTCAATATATTTAAAAAGAGATCTCTCTCTCATCTGCATGCGGGAGCGGGGCATCACAGTTCTGCCGGTAATTAATATTACATTTTGTGAGGAAACTTTTCCATCAATAATTGCAATAAGTATTCCAAAATGTATGCACTTCAGGTTTACGAAAGTAATGGTAATCAGATTAGTTGTTTTTTGTACCTAAGTGGTACCGCGCCTAGTTTGAGTCACGGGAGTAAAGAGAAATGAAACCGTTGAAGTTTGAATCTCCGCTTCCCGTGTGAAAGCACCATCATGTAGTAGTGCGACACCGACAGTATCTTTCTTACTTTAACAAACTAATACAGTTAGCTTTGCCAAGGTACGTCATGAACCCTAAGATACTCACCGAAGACAACAAACACAGCAAGCATCGTAATGCATGACTATCTCTATCTCATATTGACATTACGTTTTACAAACAAAAGCAAAAAATATCAATCGAACAGATGGCCTACTAGCACTGAAATCCGGAAAGTTCCTTCTTCTTGTTTGGTGTTTATCGGCGGATTGCAAAACAATTTAGGTCCATTACAGCCGCTGTCACCATGGATGTATAATAAGACCTGATACAGCGTGGGCCCTTGGTGGGCCCATGGGTGTGCCCTCATTCATTCATATGAGAGTTGCTCATTGGCGCGGCGCATTGACAAAATCAGCTGTCACCAACAGGACCTCTTCTTTCGGTTTTTGGCGGATTGCAAACAACTTTAAAGGTGCATTACCGCCACCTACTGAACATGTGTGAATCTTATCATCTCTTAACTCATGGACGTATACATTTATGATTTAATCAAAAAATAAAGAAATACACAAAAAACATAAAATAAAAATGATCTTTCCTGACCTAATGTTAAATTATTTTTCCCACCCCTGTTTCCCTCAAAAAGGTAAACCGTGCCTTTCTGGTAGCTTACTCCTGTTCCCAGAATACCAACCACTCCACCTCCTCTATCACGTTAGCCTTTCTCTTTCAGCTTTATAGATGTCACAAGATATGTTCCACTTTCTTTAACTCCACAGTTCCTACACTTGTCACTGTATTTAAAACTATTTGACATTGCAGAGACAAAGTAGCAGGAAATCACTTTTAATGTTATGTATTAAGTTGTTGAACTAAGCATTGGATGCTTGTTTATGGTCCTATGGTTGCACCACAAGTGTTGTGATACGTATGTGTAAATCATAGACTGTATGTGTAAATAAAAGAACATCAATAAAGGGATTCTCAAAATTATTCCTTGTAAGATGTTTATTTCAACAATTGTTCTGGAGAAAAAACGTTCAGCTGATCAGTTTGTAAGATTTTTTTTTACAGAGAACTGAAGGTACTTCTATAGCACTTTGTCCAGTCGCTACATCCTCCCGTCCTCCTTCACCATCTTCCTGCTGCCTTCAACGCACTGCACCTGAGAATACAAAGAAACTACTTTTAGTGAAATTCAAACATTTGTTCTAAGGTTATTATTTAAGATCTGATCTCAGTCCCATATCCGCGAGTTTCATCCAACAGTCCTCTTGTTTTAAATTCATCATAGATCAGGAATTTATTAAATGATGCTGACAAATCTCCTTACACACCGCACAGCAGGAACATGGAGCCTCTGGATCCCAAAGACATCGGATTAGATCTCATGGGCAGATTGATGCCTGCAGGAAGAGAACAGCATTAAAATAACATAACTGTTGTTGCGCAGTAAGCATTTCTACATATTGACGTGAGGATCTGTTGGACAGTTGAGTGGCTGCTGATGGCATAAGAGGCCAGAACAGTCAAAGACCGACCTTTTATCTGGCATGCACTTGGAGAACCCTAGAGCTACAGACAAGCCCCGGTCCTTAGGATTGCTATCCTAAGGACCGGGGCTTGTCTGTAGCTCTAGGGTTCTCCAAGTGCATGCCAGATAAAAGGTCGGTCTTTGACTGTTCTGGCCTCTTATGCCATCAGCANACACACACACACACACACACACACACACACACACACACACACACACACACACACACACACATTATACTCCTAATTTGCATTGTGGGGCTAAATTCTGACAATTACACTGATGGTGGTATTGATTACTGCTGGTTTTTCTGGCTAAAAGAGAGGGGAGGAGACATGTGCCTAAGAGAGGAGGGATATGAGCAACAAGGGAAGGAGGTAAGAGAGGAAAAGACAGAGTGAGCGAGGGGAAACAAGCAGGGTATTATTATGCCAGATTGTCTCGACGTTGCACCACAGATGATCATTTCTTTAGTTTACAGTGAGTGGGACAGCTATAGGAGAAAGGTAAGGCAGGCGAAGGTATTGCAGAGAGGGAGGGGAAGAAAGTTGAGTGAAGAGAGAGAGCAGCACAGGGGAGGAAAAGGTTTGAGAGGCAAAAGGGGAGTAGGGAGGGAAAGAGGAGGGATGGAAAAAAGCAAGAAAGAGAGGAGCAAAAAGTTGGGTTGCTTGAACATTGGGACCCTAAAATTGATGCTAATTTTCTAATTGATTTGCATCAATTAATCATGTTTGTCTCATGCGCTCACTACAGCATGATAGTTGGATGTCACATACCTTATTCAAACAAGAACACCTGCTTGTTTCTGATCCATCAACTATGTCAACCTCCATCTCACAAGAGATCTCACACCAATAAGAAAATGGACATAATCAAACAGCTGCAAGGTGTGTGCTCATTGATCGTAGCGGTATAGATTGAATTTGTCAGCCAAGCACATTACCACAAAATCTTTGCTGACCATTGGACTAGCCTAAACTCTGGTTGGGATTTCCCCTCAGATTGGTGGCAAATCAAGACTAAATGAGCCAAATAATCCTACTGGGATGTTTTCCTGTTCAATACAAATGAAGTGAGACAAATGTGTTAACAGCATAGTGGGGAATCAAGAGAAGAGACATCTATATAAAGAGGCTGAGCTGCTTTTACATGTACTGTAGCTCCATTTGTAAGAATCTGCTAGCTGGGTTAATACAAGTTGTAATGAGAGTAGATTACATCCATGCTGTGATTATTAATCCTGTTCTTGATAAACCACCTGTGTGGATTTTATCCCCAGCACATGCTGAACATACATTCTGTAAACTTAAAGGCTGCATCAAGTGGAAAATGAGTCATTTTAAAAAAGGAGGCGAGCTTATTGTTCACATCTGGTATATTTCTAGTGATGTTAAGTGATGCATTGCAGGGAGACATGCTTCTCCCTCAGCAGGGAAGTCAGGTACCTCCACTGGAGCTCGTAGTGACTCACAGTCTGGCTGTTGGAGGCTTCAGCAGGGCGGATGCTTGTCAACACGGGGACTTAAACCATGGATCTCTGGTCCAGGCACACTGCACCTAGTTGCCATTCCACTCTGCAGCCCTAATGCCACTCTGCTGGGACACAGTGAGCCCTTACATGCATCAAATCCGAAGGCATTGTTTGTGACAGCACTGTGTAATCACCTTCAGGACTGAAAAAAAAAACGAAACAAAAAAGAATCAGCTTTTCTCTCAGGGCCATGGTGGCAGGGGTCATACAGTGCATGGCTAAAAAAATACACAGAGGGATGTGCAAGCTATCGTCTTCCCATCACCTCACAGACATGAGGGTTAGGAAGACCGAAGCCTTAAATTGCTCACATTTATGAATGTGACTCATCATCCGTCTAAGCCTGCGCCACACTGCCCTCTGTGGAGACAGGGGAGAGACTGAGCGGAGGGAATGACCAACAAAACTTAGAAATGGGAGTATGAATAGAATCTGATCAGAATATGTGAGCAAAGCAGACAATGACAAAGATGTGTGATTTTCAAACTTCAGTTGCTGATTCCTGGAAAGCTGAATTCTTTAAGGTGGGACACATCCGACATCACTGTTATCTCACCCAACATAAATACAGTCAGTATTACCATCCTGTCTCCATGACTGTGTCCCTATAACCCAGATCTCTCTGCTTTCTATTCATGTCTACTCTCCTTTCTTCCTCAATTTCTTCTCTTTGTCAGTCTCTCCTCCCTCTCTATTTTTTCACTCCTTCTCCAATCACAGTGAATTTGCAAGGAGGCTGGTTGGGGACTTTTCTGACAGACAAATTTGGCTCCGATCAGAATCACTAGCGAGCATCCTGCATTCCTTTCTCAATTTAAATGATTTTGCAGCTTCACAGGCACACCCACTCAGACATCGACACTCTGCACGCCTCCTGCCCTCTCTTTATCTTTTGCACGAGCTCATTCTTTCATTTCTCTCTTTCTGTTTGTCACACACAAAACATAGACATATAAAACACAATTCAGAGCTAAAAGTGGTGGAACTGGCGAGGTGCCAACAAGCAGGAGCCCAAACAGTTGCTTCACTGACTTTGGTTGGCTGAGAAAACAGATGAGATGAAAGAAGAGAGGCTGCAGCTGGAAGAAGACACAGAGATAGGAAGGCAGATAGAAGGAGAGACAGTTTTTCTAAAGTCTATCATTAAAACATGAACAACATGTTTACCCTTTTGCTCGTCATCTGTGTTGCAGAATGCATTATTATGCACAGCGTCACTAATACTGTGCCTGGTTTCCTCACAAACAGCATGCAGAGGAATTTTGAGCTCCTTAGAAACAGTGGCGTCCCCGATGTGTGTCAACATGTCGAAGTCATACAGACAAAAGAAGCTGTCGAGTCTGCTGGCAATTTTCATTTTTGATTTGATGTGTGGCTGGCCAGCTGTCTCCCTGAGATTATTATTATGTGCAGGCAGCACACCGGGTTGGCCTCACCTGTCTTCTCCATGCGTCACATGCTCTTCCTGACTTTTAGCATTGAGCTTCCGAGGCACGGGAACAGGTGTCTGCACCTCCTCAGGCTAAGGGGCAGATTCAGAGGAAAAAGCCACATCGTAATCAGCCACTTCAAATTCAAATTGCACCGTGGCTCAGAAGCCATCAGCTGCAAGCAGCACAGCCAAAAATCTGGAGCATTCATTCATTTCTTGATTTTAATACCATGCATAATTTTCAGGAACTTCAGGAAGAAAAATGTTTCTACAGCCTTCAGTGGTTAATGTAACTTGGTACGTTCTCAATTACTGAACGCAGGTACATTCCTGAGTACTTTAAGCCAGTTTATACTTTTACATGCACTCTCATTGCTACAATTACTCGTTACATTGAATACAAATATTTAACATCCAAAACACATGAGCATGTAATAAAAAGAGTCTATCGAGAGGTTTGGGCAATATGATATGCACATTTCCTTAAAACCATTCAACGAGCCCACCAATGTGTTCCCTATGAGATCTGGCACCACCATCTAAAGAGGACAACATTGTTTTTCAACGATTTCAAAAAATTCATGACAAAAAATAATAAACCAATATCAATACATAAATGCATTTTCTCAGGTTAATTATTGCTAACTGACACTTTGCTAAAGGACAGGTAGAAATGCAGTCATCAAGGTTAAAGGAACCCACTCTAACATTGACAGGGGACGGCATGCTAACAGTCGTCTCAATGTCAGAGTCAGACGCCTTGAACTCACAACATCCTCTCTATCATCAATCACTCATCTCCCTCAGTGGTGGTTGGGCTCTCTAACGCCTCAGTCCATTGCTTGTGACAAATGTCCTCCCTATTGTACTTTAGATACCTTGTAAATACATATCAGCTGTTGAAGTAAGTAAGTTGAATTACACAATGAAACAAAGTGGGATAACACTGATTTAAAACATCTTAAATGTTCAACAACATGCATAGCTCACACTGTAAGTGTCAAATGTGTGCATGTTTAAGATTAAACATGGTACACTTCTTAATAGTAAGGGCATTTTATCAGATATTTGACCGGTCTGCAAACTAAATCCTTACCAATCAATTTCTTCACTAATGTCTTTGTAAAGGTGTGTAGTAAGATGTATTAAAAAGTTGAAGTTCTGTATCCTGTATGTTTTTTCGTAACAACTGCTCAAAGTTGAGGTACCGAATATCGATTTTCGAAAAATCAAAAATTTTCAGTTTGGCGTTGGGTAACTTGTGAGGGGTCAAACTAGGGGTTTTTCATGATTCTGAGTTGATTGCAATAATTTATTTTTCACTAAAAATCATTCCTTTGTGGAAAAACGGCCACGCCCACCTTTCCCGCTCGCCCCCCCCCCCCATAATGCCTTTCCACTGCTAGCATAAAAATTGTTTGATTATTTTACTATTTGTCCTTTTAGGACTTATTATTGTTTAGTGGTAGCTGCTAGTTGGTTGGCATTCAGAGTGAGGATGTTTAGAGTTAACATGCTGAAGCCATTTTCAACCTTCATTTGATCATGGACAGACTGCTTTTTACGCCTGATATGTAAGTATTATCCACATTTTTAACTTGAAATATTTCAAGTCACTACTTTGGTAATGAAATGTAACATACTGTACAAGTTGTCAACTTTTCTTAGTTGTTAGCTGTGTAACAGTAGGCGCAATAACATGGTTAGCTAGCTAACGTTAAATCCATGATGTATTACTCCATGATTAGTTGTCAACTTTGCTTACTTGTTAGCTGTGTAACAGTAGGCGCAGCAACATGGTTAGCTAGCTAACGTTAAATCTATGATGTATTACTCCATGATTGTATCCAACTAGGCAACTACCATGATGTATTACACACCTCAAACTGAATCTCATGATCATTTTATTTCTTGAATGCTAGCTTTCTGGCCCATTAGGTTGCAGTGGGTGTATTGTCTCTGACAGGATCATTTGTGTTTAACGTTACTGTGAAGCCAGATCTCTAATTTTCCTTTGCAATAATATCTATTACCAATGTTAATCATCTATGTACATTAAGATTGTCTTTAATGTGGTCCAAAATAATGATATTATGACTGAATAT